TTAAGTATGAATGAATGAAACCTTTCACGTTGTATTTCTCTTCTTAAAAATATATATTAATAAGGTTTCTTTAAGGATAACACCCATGACAATATATTTACGTTATTACATGATGCTAGAATATTATAGATTAACAACCGTTTAATTTACAGTTAAATGTAATTTACGTAACCGATATTTATTTTCGAACTTTGATAAAATATAGAGAGAAACCTTAAGACAGTTTTAGTTAATAAATCAATAAAAATTGAGTTCTTTCACTGATTTTTATTCGGTTTTTAATGAAAAACCTCAATAAAAGCCACTGAACACTGGTAGTTGGGTCGCGGGTTCACACCTGACCAACAGTCTTCATTCATTAAATTTTAGTTTAAAAAATTCAATTTTTATTAAGTTTTTTCAACAGAAATTTAATAAATGAGACGAAGAAATAAACGCAAAAAACATGCTTGTTTCTAACGAGTGTAAACACGCCAACACGACTGCATTTTTTTATGACAGTAGTTAATGAAAGTTTATTATTTTATTTAAAGAAAATGCATTTACAAACTTAATTAATAGCTTTAAAAATATTCGTATTTTTAAGTTTTATGCCATAAATAATTCAATAAAAAATACTTTTAATTTTTAAAAATTATTTTAGTGTGTTATGTAGCTTGATGCAAGTTGTTTGTTTGTTTAAGCGATTTGCCATTTAGTTTATGAGTTTAACTTCATTTGTTTGCTTAGTTAGTTGTGTATATTTTGTTTTAAAAGTGTACATGAGACTTAATTTCTATCCTGATAATTACAAATTATGTCTTTAAACACGTAAATTAATGTCACATCGCGTCAATTGCACCATTGCGCGCGTAAATATTTATTATTCTAATATATTATAAAAATAACTTTTAATTAGTATTTTTAATGTACGAATCAGTAAATAACAATGTTACATTTGATGAAAGTTTTCGAATTTCTTTGTAGAACAATGATCGAAATTCTGATCGAAAACGTCAAAATTATAATAAAATATTAAATTATCAATAATTATATGCTGTTATGTTCATCTTTATCCTGATTAATTTAATGTTAATTAGAATTATGAGTACAGACAAATTAATATTTCTACAAGTTTATTGCTTAAAACTCAGGGTCTATAATTAGGGTGAGAGAATCTCACAAATGAGAATTATAACCTTATAAAATATTATACAAATTGTAAGATAAATTGTAGAACTGAAGTAAAAAGTTCACTTATGGAACATGGCCAGAGTGGATAAAATTCACTGAACACCGGTTGAGGATTCGCATCTGATCAATGGGATGGTCACGTGGAATTTTTCCGGGCTTTCTTTACGTATCTAGAACCTAAATAGGGACCAGTTTCTCATAGAAAGTCCTTCTTCACCTAAATAGGGACCAATTTCAGATAGAAAGGTCTCTTGGAAAGCACCCCAATGACAGATCTTGCCACATGTTGAATTATCGTATCCCATCAAACCGAACCAACATTACCTACAACACATTTATCAATTTACAATGTTCAGTTTTTTCATCTAAATAAACATTTCTTAGAAAAGAAAGCATTTTGTATACACTTTAAAATTTTATTTTATTCTTTCCAAACATTTTCGCATTTAAAACTGACATAATCTTATATAAATACAGAAATCTTGTCATTCTAAGCTCGTTTTCTAAAAAGAAAACTTATGTTATAGAAATATTTCTTACATTTGTAGCTACAAGACACATTTATTCCTTCTTTTAACAGATAATTTACAATATAAATATTTAAAAATCTAAATTATCGCTGTTATTGTTTAAGTTAATTCTATCTTAACACTTTATAAGGACATAAAATTATAATATGAATTTATCTTTTAATAAANCTGGTAAACGAGACGCTTAACAGTTTCAAATCCCTTGGGTGTAATATGAGTATTAAGGTGCACTATTTACACAGTCACTTAGACCATTTTCCTGAAAATTTAGGAGACACCCGTGAAGAACAAGGTGAAAGATTTCACCAGGATATTAAAACTATGGAGGACCGCTACCAAGGAAGATGGGATATGCATATGATGGCAGAGTTTAAAAAGGGATTGCTCCAAAATACATTCACGAAAGTCACGGAAAAGAAGCTTCCTCAATGTGTAACTGTTTAGTTTTATTGATGACTTTTTCCTCTATCTTTGTATAGAATAATATTTGCATAATATAATAATAAAAATTCCGTGTTTAGTTTTTTCACTTGATCCATGGATTTAACTTAAGATATTGAAACATATATTTTGCTAAAGTGCTATATCTTAAAAATTAGAGCTCCTAGGCAAAAACTAATGCCATATTTGAATTCAGGACATCAAATTCATATGAAATCAGCTCAAAATACCTGGGCACCAAAACCACTGTTGACCTGTGTAATTAAATACAGTCTTATTGTTATTAGTTTGAGTGTAATATTTTTAATCTTTGGTTATAATAAGGACTGAAGATGACTCATTAACCAATAGGATACCAAATTAAAAGTCTAATTGCTTTTTAACCCGGGAAATACCGAATCTGTCTGCTAATATGAAATAAACGCAATTTATGAGTTTACAAATAAATGCTTAATGGAAGGTAAATATAGATAAATTGTAGCAAATTATTTTTTTTCTTATTTACTCATCATCCATTTATTTGACTTTCTTTAACTTTGTTGAATTCATATATCGTCATTTGAGAAAACGACAATGTTATTGCTTTCGTATGAATAATAAAGAACATAACAGAATAAACGAAGAAAAACACGAAGATTAAATATTTTGAGAAGAATAATCAGAAAAAATACTTATTTGTTTTTCATTCACTTAAATGTAAGCTTTTCTTGATGAAATATCGATCCGTTTTTGTACCATTACTTACACTTAAATTATGATATATACGATGTAATTGTAACATTTTTATCTAATTTAATTGTTTCAAGAGTCAAATCATCCTTTCTGGCATACAAGAGCACATAAGAGGGTCTTTTTTCTGTATCTATCGTAATTTCGGCTAAGCCCACTGTGGGACGGCCAGTTGATGAGAGATGAAGTTTGTGTTTGGGTATGCCCGTAAAATTTCTGGAGTTTTTTATCCACTCTGATTCGATCCCGGGATCCAGAAGCGGTAGGCTGACGCCTTAGGTACTTTAAAAACAGATCACTCTATGCCTCCACTAAGTAGTGCCATTCAGTCGCGCCCATTCATCTCCCATTAAAATCCTTGTATTTTGAAGGTATGCTTTAACACGAACGTTAGTGATGCGTGTATGTGGCAGGTCGACGCGGATTCCCGCCGCAAGTAGTCCCATTGAATGAATTGGAGCGTTTTGCACAGAGCACCAAATGGTGTCACTTAGTTTCACGTTTGAGTTGCTGGTACAAGCGAGTGAATGATGTCACTCAATGGCGCAAGCGAGTGGCACGTTTGAAAGCAACGTCAAACGCCTCGGCCATCCTGTATCTTTTGATATATTTGACTTCTTAGAAAAAGTAATCTTCATATAACACCATTACAATTATATTTGAGTAAAGTAGATTCAAATATCATCTCAACTGAATTTATACATTTCGATTTAGAAGTTTTATAAGTATATTAGACCGATGTTGTTTTGAAATTATAACTATATATTTCGTATAAAGATTTTAGTATTAACAATTTTATTGTGTACCAGGAAATTAAAGAATTTACTATAACAGTTAATTAACAAATCGATTTCATTTTAAATAATAAAGACATAACGTTTGCCATTCTTTCAAAAGTTACCACAAATTACCTGCAGGAAATGTATATTTAAAAGACAATTTGAAGGGGGTTGCGGGGTATACTGTGGGGCGAGTTATGTAAAGATTCTTTCCGTTCTAACGATTTTCTGCAATATATATGCCGTCGCGGATTATCCACACACAATTAATCTACTGTATATTTTCTCAGTTATAATTGTAGCATCCTTCTAAATCAGCACTCTAGATTTCTGTCTAATTCTTTTAATTTTATAAACCTGCCAAATTAATATGAAGAATTAGTAATTAGTTATAATTATAAAATACTTTTTGTTATTACGTTCTTAAAACTTGTCGGCTATTCTTACAGGGTACTTAATCGATTCAATAATAAATTTTTCTCTATGCTGTATATTTATATCTTTTGAATAAATAAATAATGTTTTTATAGTTTATTTATGTGTAGAAAAAACTTAATTTTATAGTTATTTTTTTATATTAGAATTAGATGAAATGTAAAACGATACGACTCTACAAAAATTTAATGAGGTAGTATTAAAAATGTCTAACTTTTGTTTTCAACGTTCAATAATTGAGTTAATGAATAGGTATTATCGTAAGAAAATTAAGGTCGTTTTTAGTTAGTGATTCATTGAAACATTTTCGGAATAATTAGAAAATGGCCATTTGCATGTGTATATTTACATATACTACACGCAAATTATATACATACTTTTATATAAATACGATTTAATTAGTTTAAGATGCTATCTATTGTCCAAATTCTCAAAACTAGTAGTACTTAATCCGGGAAGGACACATTATGGAAGAAGCAAGATACTTTTTCCTACAGGATTAATATCTTTTTCTTTATTTAAATGAACTTTTCAAATCTTTTATCACTTTTTTCATTGAGAACTTTGTCTTTTTAAACAAGAGTTTAATAAAAATGCATTAATATTAAATTAAAATGTAAAATTATGTATTTTTACTGTTACAAATTTCTAACCTAGACTTAAATGTTTTCATACATATTAATAAACGGGCACAAATAAATGTTATTTCTTAATTACTTAAGCCGTATATAAAATTTGAATAAATATACTCGAGAATATGGAACGGCTTTATAAAGTCTTAAATTAAAGAAATAAAATTTAATAAATTGTTCTTGGGAGAGCAATTCAAAAATTCAAGTAGTGCAAGCGGGGTTAAATAAGTAGCCTAATTTTATTTTTAATAATAGTAAATAAAAACCCAATTTAAGCTTTTGAATTAATTTATTGTAAACTGATTTATATATTTGATAACACGTTTACATTAATCAACTGATTGAAGGTAATTGTTATCAAACATTACTCTGACGCTGACGATTTATCATCTTCCATCTCTTCTCATCACTATCATTCATTCCACCTTCTAACTTTTCCATCGATGGTCGTCTCGAACGTTCTTCTTCTCCTGCAGAAAAGATACCTTTTTTGATCTGCATGTTGATATCTCTATCATCCTTACTAATTCTGGGCGAATTACGAGAAGTAATATGTAAAGTTACCATTTCTTTGCTCATTTCCGGTGACTTATAATCGTTTACATCATCGTCTTCATCGTGAGAGTGGTAGAATCTTCCAGTTGTACCAATTTGCCTCTTTTTTCCTGGTCTCCATCCATGCAAACCTAGAATTGACATTGTGTAAGCGTTTTGATTGACAGATTTACTTTCTTGGCGATTTTTTTCTCTTTGCAAAGGCATGGTCTGTTTTTCTGCCAAACCTCCGGGTTTCCAACTTTGAGAAAGAAAAGTGCGTTTAAATGATTGGCGGCCATTTTGTTTCCATAATTTCTTATCCGAAACGCTATCGTCCCAAATTAAAGGTAATACTATCTCTTCGGTTAGTAAATTGTTTTTAAAGGATTGAGATTTCTCTTTGCCACTTGGATCATTGATCAATTCCAGAAGATATTCGCTAATAACGTCTTGGGGGATATTTATTTCTGACATTCCTAACGATCTCCAACGATTTTTCTGCATACGACTCTGTAACATTTTCAGGAAATTCAAAAGAGACAAATTCTGATTGGCCAATGCGGTATCGGGTAATGCAGAAGGCTTGTTTCTTGTATCGTCTTCTATCTTGTCGTTCGGATCTTGTAATAGTAAATTAGGGTGAGCTGGATTTTCTAAAAACTGAAGATTCGACCATAATCGATCGTTTCTGGATAAATCAAAAGGTGGTGAAGTATCTTCCTTCGGAAATGTATCTCTGATAAGAGGAGAAATGGCGGAAAAATCGAATATTTTGCGACCTTCCGTTTCGATTGTTCGTCTCTTTCTGTTCGTTGATTTCGTTGGTGGCCAGTTCGTTTGTTCTGATTCTGCTTGGTTTTTATAGTATATATTTTTATTTTCTATCGGTATAGACTTATAGGTATTAGATAATTCGGTCGATTGAATAGTACCAGATGACATCTTCACAATCAGAAAAGGAAGAATTGATAGTAAAATCATCTTTTCTATCATATTTCTAAGCTTTAAAAAGATACAAAAATATTATATTAATATTTTTACGTACAAAACAATATATAATTCGTTTGTTTAGCTAAATCTACACTAAATCTTGTTTATCTCTAAGATTTTCTGTTACTATTTCTTAATTTAAAAAACACATACCGGCCTTGGGGGACCCGGAATCGAACCCGGACGGGTCGAAAAAATCCCAGAAATTTTTCGGGGGTGGGCCAACCGGATATGTCGAGTCCCATCCCTCAACACCCGGCTGCCCCATCGTGAGTCTAGCCGAGCCTACACTGGGCTTAATAAAAAAAGGCCCTCTTACAAGGCGAAATAAGTAAAAAAAAAAGTTAAAAAAACACTTATTGTTTGTTTTATCTCCATCATTCGCTGTTTACCTATACAGAACTATAAGATTTCACTAATACTTTCTGCATCCTTTGTTATCTTTCTCGTTTTCTTTACAAATCGTTTGCTTCTCTTTGTATTTGTCTCACGATCACTTAATATAACCTCTCTATTCTTTCTTCATAATTATTTTATTAAAAAGTATATTTATTTATTCGTAAATGCTTAAGATATTTACTGTTTGCTATTCTACTCACCTATAATAATATCGATTAATTTTCTAAAATTTTAATATTTAAACATATTTAAATACTTGAATGCCATGGAAATTGATAAAGTTTATTAGAAAGACCAGATTTCCTCACAAAATAAATTTGATCATTTTTTTTTCTAAAGAAATGAATTCAGAAATGGATTAAATATTCAATTTTAACTACTTTTAATATCATTTCTCTAAGATATTTAACGCAAGTCCTTCTAAACTTCTATTTTACTTTTAAAAATGTATAGCTACCATCTGTACATTTCAGGAATAAAAATTGACAGAGATAGCTTGATTTTTGTGGATTAAAAATCAAGCTATCTCTGTCTATTTTTATTCCGGTGACCGAGTGGATAATCTGAACACTAGTAATTGGTTCGGCCTCACCAATGGGCTGTCATGTGGGTTTTCCAGGTTTTATTCACGTATATAATACCTAAATAGGGGCTAGTTTCTCATCGAAAGTCTTCACGGGAGACACTCCTTGCTTTATCCTACCAAACCTAACCATCATCATCATCTATCCATTTAAAATTCCTCAAATCAATTACATTCGTCAATCAATTAAGATAGTTCATACTCTTTATGAAGCTTTAAGAATATTTCTTCTTTATTACCTATTCAATTTTATTCCATGTTATTTTTTTATATTTATCTCTTAAATCGCCGTTAAATATTCCTATTTATTTCTACAAATATTATTCACATTTAAATAATAAACGAGGAAAGATTAATTCATTTATTTAGAAACGATATGTTATTAAATAAGATTATTTTCAATTTTAAATAAATCTAATAAGTGCTAGATGTAAGAAACAAATGTAAAAAAAGTTTGTTTTTTTAAATTCAGTTTATAAAAATAAACAAAAAATAATATTAGTGATAACATTTAGGATAATAAAATATAAGTTTATTTAGATAACTCCTACGCCAAATAAAATTGAATAAATTTCGGATTAAACAAAAATAATTCCGTTTTGAAAGTGAAAATATATTATTTTATTATTTTCGAACGGATTTTTTTTTTGCCCACGTTTTACCCGAAATTAATTTAATATTAGACTTTTCTGAGTTGTTTCTTGAAAGAGTTTGATCGATCGATTAGATCGTAATGGTGTTTATACAAAGACTCGCAATATGTTTACATATGCCAAACATGCAAAACAATTCCTAGAAGAATTTTTATGATTTACCTTTAATTTTATCATAAAATCGATAGACATTAAAAGTGAGCTTTCTTCGAATCGAAACTATTTAATGTCTTCAAACATATATTTTATAAAGAGTTAAACATTTAAACTTATAAATTATTAGTGCAAACTTAGCATAACTGTAACATTTTTCAGATTTTTTTTCTATGTGCTGTAACAGCTAAAATCCTTGTTTTCTTGATCAGAAATACTATTATCTTGTCTTTTTTTTCTGAACACTGAAACTGANATAGAGTAGTGCCTGTCATCTATGTAACTCCTTTCAGGAGAAAAACTTTGAATTTAAAGAATGTAATTTCCTATAGTTAATCGGAGCCTCCTTCCTCTAGTATTACCATATCTTGTCTCGACTTTCATGTATCTAACTTCATTCTCGAGATTAAGGAAGGACGACAGACGGATAGACAGCGACGGTGGGAATTTATAGGTCTACAGTTTTTTTCAAATTGCAGCCAAATTACTATGCTACTACTTTTATTCAGAAAATAGTATCATACATTTATCTTTAAATTCTATACAATATTATCTGAAATAACGCAATTTATGTTACTAAATGTCAGTTTAGGAAAGGAAAACTTCCTGACAATAGAAAAAATAAAATTTATCAAACTAAACTTTTGAAGAACATTGAGTAATGTTAGAATGATATAAGAAATATACCTACTTGAGAACCATTTGAAAGATTCGTGATTCTACTTCTGGCAAGAGTATTTCCTCCGTTTTACACGAAGAATCATATAACATTGAACGGAAAACATCGCTATATACGCTAAGTAACAATTTATGAGAATGAAATTTCTTTTGATCGTTTCCCACTAAAAAAGTGACATCGTGCAATTCATCGGTAAGCATCAATTGCTTGATTTTACCTGAGAGAGAATTTGTTTGTAGTTGCCAATCTGCCATGACTGAAATTAAAATATATTTATAATTATATTTCATAAAGAGAATTTTATTCTTGATTTCAGAAAATATTTTTATATAAATTTTATTGATTTGTCAGGCGTAGTTTTTGTTCAAAATGACTATACATCTTATACACTCAGGCAATAAACTCTCCTAAGATAGATAAGAAATAATTAATCATTTCTTACCCATTAATTGCCAATTCCTTGTCCATGGGATTGGCAATTAAAAACAGATACGATTCGAACTGCTGAATATTGAAAAATGAGAAGAGGTGCAGTTAAAACAAATGAAAGAAAACTAATAAAATTAAGGAAGATAAATATAAAAAAGGTTCTTTTTAATCTTATTTTCAAATTAATAAAACCGAAAAATCTTAATAAATTGTTTAAGAAATGGAAATAATCAAAAACATTACAATTATGCTTATTTTTATTTAATTCCAGTTAAAACAGTCATTTTTCCAATCTAAAAACCATTAAGATTTGTTTCGGTTGCTATGATAGAACGTTTCTAATTTCCTAAGATAAACATAAAATTGTTTTTCTCTATAAATAATTGTGAAGATTTATTCAATGAAGATGATAACGAATTTTTACTGTTTACCGAAATAAACGAAATTATGAAGACATATAAAAAATTTCAACATAATTGCCATAAATCACTGACTGAATAATCTAACAATTTTCTTTCTGATTAAATTTATTTTAATATGATATCAGATCCTAACAAATGCCTGAATGTTTTACTATTTAATTCCCTATCATTATCAATGTAGCCCTACATAACATCACTATTTTGTTATGTGTATTATTTATAAGTAATTACGAAATTTTAAATTATTTAAATTTATTAAAAACATTCATTCAACTTCTTACCTTTAATGAGAATGATAACCAAGTATAAACTTTGTTCTCAATTTATTTTATTGATAATCTTTATACCTTTTAACTCTAATCTTATCAGACTGTACGATTTATTTTTCACTGTAAAAACTTAGATTCATCGTTACAAATTCAAGATTAGATGGCTCCATTTATATAGAATGAAGGTATAAATCTTAATCATAAAAATCCAAATATAAAATTCGTTTCTATTCTCAAAATTAAACTTTTTGACATTTTATAATAATTAACAATACAAAAATTTTAAAAATACAATCTCATAACAGATGGCGCCAGAAACAATTTTAACTGTTTCCCGGAAAGTTACGCAACTCGTTGTTGGATTTTTATTCTGGAAATTTATATTCTCGTCGCCTATATTAAATGTTTCTTTATTTATGATATTAAAAATACAGTTGAATAGGTCCTACTACGAGAAACACCGGGCCCACCAGTGGCCAAGCGGTCTTCGTACCCTAAACACTGGGAATTCGGTCGTGGGTACGCGCCTCTCTCGGACGGGCTGGCCACGTGGAGTTTTCCGGGTGTTCTCTATGTCTGTAACGCCTAAATAGGGGCCAGTTTCCCTTAAAAAGACCTTCCGGAAGGCATCTCCCTTGGCAGATCGCTCAAGTGTTGCGTTGCCATAACAAACAAACGAGATACATCTCTGTGAGAGAAGAAAACGGAGGAAAATTTAAAAACAATTTAATAAATTATTTCAAAATTATAATTATTAATTTAGATAAGAGATGGCGCCTAACGTTTGCCTCTATTAGCAAATTACTTAGTATTAATTATTAAAATTAGCGGATTTATAGCTCGAATATTTAAGGCGATGGTTTGGCTACGTATCGAAGAAAACGTTTTGTTGGAACTTAAATATAAATGACGGCAAACCATTTGATAAAATTTCGTGTATTAACTTGTCACCAGTGAAAAGATGTAAAAATGTCAGAAAAACGATAAGTCCCGCCGACGTAAATGGGTTGAAATTCTTAAATATTTCAAAAATAAACAAGGATCTTTTAAAACCATTTTAAAAATCGTTGAGTTCTGTTATTCCTGGAGTTCTGTTATTCCTGATTTCTGGCTCAATTTTGATAAATTGAGCCAGAAATCAGGAAGACGAGTGTTCTCAACGAGTGTTCTCAACATTAGACCAGTTAGAACTGTTAGAACTCTGCCGACAGGTGAATAGCGACGAAGTAGGAAATTGGAATGTAAACCTAGTGTTCTGTATACACTAAAGACTCTGCACTTAAATTCAGAACATTGGTCCTACTCTGAACCAGAAACATTTTATGATATACTGCTGATGTANTTGTGTATATTTTGTTTTAAAAGTGTACATGAGACTTAATTTCTATCCTGATAATTACAAATTATGTCTTTAAACACGTAAATTAATGTCACATCGCGTCAATTGCACCATTGCGCGCGTAAATATTTATTATTCTAATATATTATAAAAATAACTTTTAATTAGTATTTTTAATGTACGAATCAGTAAATAACAATGTTACATTTGATGAAAGTTTTCGAATTTCTTTGTAGAACAATGATCGAAATTCTGATCGAAAACGTCAAAATTATAATAAAATATTAAATTATCAATAATTATATGCTGTTATGTTCATCTTTATCCTGATTAATTTAATGTTAATTAGAATTATGAGTACAGACAAATTAATATTTCTACAAGTTTATTGCTTAAAACTCAGGGTCTATAATTAGGGTGAGAGAATCTCACAAATGAGAATTATAACCTTATAAAATATTATACAAATTGTAAGATAAATTGTAGAACTGAAGTAAAAAGTTCACTTATGGAACATGGCCAGAGTGGATAAAATTCACTGAACACCGGTTGAGGATTCGCATCTGATCAATGGGATGGTCACGTGGAATTTTTCCGGGCTTTCTTTACGTATCTAGAACCTAAATAGGGACCAGTTTCTCATAGAAAGTCCTTCTTCACCTAAATAGGGACCAATTTCAGATAGAAAGGTCTCTTGGAAAGCACCCCAATGACAGATCTTGCCACATGTTGAATTATCGTATCCCATCAAACCGAACCAACATTACCTACAACACATTTATCAATTTACAATGTTCAGTTTTTTCATCTAAATAAACATTTCTTAGAAAAGAAAGCATTTTGTATACACTTTAAAATTTTATTTTATTCTTTCCAAACATTTTCGCATTTAAAACTGACATAATCTTATATAAATACAGAAATCTTGTCATTCTAAGCTCGTTTTCTAAAAAGAAAACTTATGTTATAGAAATATTTCTTACATTTGTAGCTACAAGACACATTTATTCCTTCTTTTAACAGATAATTTACAATATAAATATTTAAAAATCTAAATTATCGCTGTTATTGTTTAAGTTAATTCTATCTTAACACTTTATAAGGACATAAAATTATAATATGAATTTATCTTTTAATAAACTTAATTAAAATCACTGGTTTGTTGAACTTTTAGATTTTATTACTAATTATAATTAAATATACAAACTTTTCAAACATTATTAACATTTATCTTCAGGAAAACTGAGGGATAAACAGATCAATTCTTTTAATTAAATAAAAGTCTCGTGAACGTTACATATTATAAATATGAGGAAACTGAGCTGTATTAATGTATAATAAAACTAATTATAGTAAATTCTAGTAGTCACGAGACTAAAAAATTAATTTATTAATCATCGCATTTATATTATATTTGTATAATTTTTGAGCATGGTTAAATTTATTCTTTCTTTTTACAAATAAAACCATCAGAAATTCTAGTCACAAAGTTGGTAATAAATTTAAATTTGTTGATAATTTTGTATTTTTTCAACAATTTTATATGATTTTTATATATAAATAAAGTATATTCAATAAATTAACTTCATCTATAAATAGAAATCCAGTCGATAATTTGGGATGGGATGTAGGACATTACTTAAGTTAGAAGTATTTGAACGTAACTTCCGAGTTTCGTAGCAATTGGTCGAATGGCATAAGCATACATAACGAACAAACAAACATTTTGATTAGTATATATCAAGTAATTTCTGTCTACATTTGATTGCTATCTTTACACGTAGCGCCATCTATTGGGAAAAATTTTAACAAAATAATAAACTAAATATAATTCTTACGAAAAGGATCTAATTTTAAAATATATACATTATGCACACTGAATTACTGTAACAATGATATAGCGCGAAATAGATGCGACATTACGTCATTACTACTATAGGAAGCACATAGCACTTGCCTGTGTGGTGTAGTAGTGTTTTGCCCCTGTACATCATACTTTTCCTGTTAGCAATAGAGTCGTGCCAGTTATGTATCTATCTTCGTTCAGGAGAAAACTTTTGAACTGAAATAATATGACTTGCGGTATAAATCGGAAGTTCTTATAAATTAACAGTTAATCTGGTCCTCTTCCCTCTTACGATTTCCACGTCTGGTCTCTACTTTCATCTAACTCCGTTGTCGAGATTAACGAATGACAGAGACGGACGGACGACAATGGGAATTTATAGGTCTACAGTTTTTTCAAATTGCAGCCCAATAAGTATGCTCCATTAACCGAGTGGATGAAACCACCGAACACCGTTAGTCGCTCGTGGATTCGCGAATGGCCAAAGGACTGGCCACGTAAAGTTTTCTGAGTTTTCTTCGCGTTAGTAACACTTAAATTGGGACCAGCTTTACATAAGTCTTTCAGGGATGCATCCTCCTCGGCAGATCGCCAAATAAACCAAACCAACTCTAATAACTTTTCTATAAACGCGATATTTACGAGGACGTGCTTAACTACCAAGAAACCTGGACGTCCTGTCCCTCCCGATTTCATCTCCCCTTACTAATTCATAAACTCATTGCCCCAAACTTCTTTCACTGATTTTGCTTAAGGTGTTCTAACATTCAGCCAAATTAATGTACTGTACAGTACGTGCAATGATTTTAAGGACAAAGTTCAGCTCGAAGTCTCTTTCTGTGCCGAAGTTTATTTTTCCTATTTATCATCGTGGCAACAATGCTTTATTCAAAATTTCCTGTAGTTGTAGTCTGTGTAATGTGCACTATAATAGTAGTGGGATGACTTATTATAGGAAACTGGCCCATATCTAGGTGTTAGACAAGTGAATAAAACCCGGAAATATAGGAAATTGGCCCATACTTGGATGCTAATACGTGAATAAAATCTGTAAAACATGTGGCCAGCCGTTGATGAGGCACGAACCCGCGTTTAATGGTCTTACACACTCGGTCACTGGTGGGCATATTAAATATTTAATTCGCAAAAATTAACATTTTAACGCAAAAATACCTTGTAAAATTCAAAACATTTAACATTTATATGATGAGATAATGATTATAAACACAAATACTACGCGTTAAATTAAGAATTCGTTATCTTTTTTGCCACGTGATTCCTGTTTTTTGGCAGGTTACTAAATCAATACTTAAATGTAGATTAATCTAAGCCACAAGCAATAATAAAATGTAGCTTGAAGTGTGATTGCGGGAAAGAGCGTGTGTAAAGATCGATGAATTGATAATTGTATCTGGATTGTTTCCATTAGATATGCTCCGATATCACGCCTTTCTTACAATAGTTTTCCTTAGAATATTTACCTTAATGAAACATTTCGATCCATAGCTCAGTCATACAAATATGTTGTGGGGTATGTAGTGTTTCTGTCGATGTCAATTATTTTCATCATAGATTTCATGCGAGACTGTTATCTATATGTGTGGGAAAGGCTGAAAACATCCATTTAAAACGTCCACATTCGCCTGAGCATTTAAAACTTCGCTGATATTATTCGAATAATAATGGAGAAAGACGGGGATCTTCAAATTATGAACTAAGAAATTTTGAAGATTCTGAGAAATGTTGGTGGATTTTTTCAAAATTCAGGGAATTAAAGAAACGTCACTTGAAAAAAGTAAATACAGAAAATAAATTTTTAAATTTAAATTTTAATCAATAAAACATTTTTCAGTGT